CCGCGCGGCCTGGGGTGGCCCACACCGGCCGCCTCCTACCTGCCCCGCTTTTTTCTTTCGGGAGGTCTGTGTTGGTCCAGGTGGCTACTTGTTGGGTGTCCTTTTGGGGCCTGATGTGTGAGGTAGATAAGTCTGCTTCCGTAGAAGTCCCCGGTCGGCGTCTGTCAGGGTTAGCCTTTGTAAGAAGGGTAGCGATTGTAGTGCGGCCTGTCTTAAGTAGTAAGTTTAGGGTTAGTGTCTGGTTTTCACTTCCAGCAGATCTCAGTCCAAAGCAGCCACGTGTTGGTCAGAGCAGGTTTACACTCTTAGAGCGTTTTCCTCCACGGTGTCCTCCCCCCAGCCCTACCCAGCCTCTCGAAGACTCCGTTCAGGCCGGGGATGCCGTAGGTTCTCAGGTAACTGCTGGTCGTGGTTGTCTACTGCAGGTCATCAGTGAGCTGAACGGAAAGAACATTGAAGACGTCATTGCCCAGGGTGAGTGTGTGTGGCTATCGGCTTTGTGGTCCCCTGCTGGCCAGCCTGTGGCCTGCCAGGTTTCGCTTGTGGACCAGAGCACCCTAGAAGCCTCACCCAAGCAAGTGAGCAGGACTTCAGTAGGCTCATGCCATGGAAGCTTCTAGACACTCCCAGGAGCTGGGCAGCAAGCTATGTGTGCCCTGTGCTAATCCTGGATTGGCCAGTGGCCTTACATCTTAGGCCAGGCTTCCCTACCCTGGATCCCTTTCCCCAGGATTCTTCTAACACTTGGTTTCTGTAGAACTGACTTCTTATTTAAAAAAAAAAAAAAACATATATTTTTTTCATCAATACTTTCTGTGAAAGTGTTGGGAAGAGGTAGGAAGGGTGCCAGGGATGGCCACAGGCTTCTGCCCCATTTTGCTGAGCTGAGGGTTTTCTGTTGACATCAGGATGGAGCTGATGGGGTTTGTTTGGGAACTGAGCTTTCTCTGTGCATATAACCAGGGCACAGCCTGCTCAGCCAGCAGCCCAGTCTGTGAGCTCATTGCTCTGGCCGAAGATCTGGACACCACGCAGTAGTTAGCAACGTGTTTGTCCATCCATGTCAAGGCGGGGGCCGGTGTGGGTCTAATTTCTAGAGCTCACATCCCTAAGAAATTCTCCCTTGGTGAGGGGTCAGGGTCCCTGGCTGGGATTAATGGGGAGTCTCTGTGTGGATAGGGGTTGGGCCCGCCTAAATGCCTGCTTCCTCACTTTTCTCTGTGTCTTTGTCAAGTGCACATGCTCCTATGGCAGATTTTTTAAAAACTGAACAGAGAAGCTAATTTTTTTAAATTTTATTTATTTAGTTGTTATTTAATTTGACCAGAGAGAGAAAGGGGGAGAGTGAGAAAGCAAACCACCAGATCCAAGATCCGATCCACACTAAATGGGGCTCCAGTGTGGTGGACCTACTGTGTGCTGCCTAGTGAAGCCTAGCTGTTCTGGGCTGGGCACCTGCTCTGGCCTCACCTTCCTTCTGCCTTCTGTAGGTATTGGCAAGCTGGCCAGTGTGCCCGCTGGTGGGGCTGTGGCTGTGTCTGCGGCTCCAGGCTCTGCAGCCCCCGCTGCTGGCTCTGCCCCTGCTGCAGGTAAGTGGAGGCTTGTGAGTGGGCAGTGTCTGTACCTGGAGGGGGCTGAGGTTCAGCCCGCATTGATGGAGTATCACCATACTCGCTCCTCTTCACAGCTGAAGAGAAGAAAGACGAGAAGAAGGAGGAGTCCGAAGAGTCAGACGATGACATGGGATTTGGCCTATTTGATTAGACCGCTCCCCTGCAAATAAAACCTTTTTACATATCTCGAGCAGCCCGTGCGTACTCTGTCAGGGCGGCATATCTGCTGTTGCAGGAAGCGGGGTGGGGTGTGAGAGGGGCCTGCAGGTGGGTGAGGAGGAGCTGCCGAGCGAGCCTGGGTTAGGTCAGGAGGTGGTCTCTGCCGAGTGAGGCAGGAATCTGGTCACCAGTGTTTGTTGCCCCTTGGTTTCTGGGGACCTTGAGCAGGGTCCTGGATCCTGAGGACAATCAGGGCCTTAGGGTCCCTGCAGCCTTCTGGAGAAAAACCAGGAAGAGTTTACTTCAAAAAATGAATACTGGGGCCAGCAGGCGGCGTTAGGGGAAGGCACATGGCCAACCATAGTTCTTCAAGTCCCAGAACTAGCAGCTAGAAGATCACGCCAGGCACTTGTGCCCAAAATCCCAGGAGAAGGGACTGCAGCTTGGCCATCCCCTTTGGGGGTTGGTTTCTGATTTTCCCTCTACACTATCTGTCCAGTAAGCATATACCTCATACAGCAAATGCCTTAAAAACAAGACAAAGAAAACTCACCCGGGCCAGCCTATGGCATGGTTAAAGCAGCTGGATCCCATGTGGCCAACTGCATCCTTTGAATCCTGGACACTGGCTTGGGAAAGCACTTGGGATGTGTGCGTGTGTCCATGCCTGCTCTCACTTTGCTCTGTGTCTTTGTCAAGTGCACATGCTCCTATGGCAGGTTTTTTAAAAAGCTAATTTTTAAAAATTTTACTTATTTAGTTATTTAATTTGACCAGAGAGAGAAGGGGAGAGTGAGAAAGCAAGCCACCAGATCCAAGACCTGAACCGTGGTCATCCATGTGGAAGTCAGAGCCCCAACCACCATGCCACCTGCCAGTCCCCAGAGAAGCTAATTGGAAATGAGGTGTTGGGGTGATCACCAGAGCTTGGCTGTGAGGTAGCTTGGTGCCTGGCCTAAGTGAGGATGAAAACTACCTGGACCCAGCTTGGAGTTGGGGTTGCCTTGCAGGGGTCACCATAACGCCCTGAGTACGGCGAGTGGTCAGCTCCTGGGTCCTGTTTTCACTACTGGGTGATGGGCCAACACCTGTTTGTTGGGCAGATGTAGGCAGTGACTGATTCCACAGAGGCTGAGACCCCCACTCCTACCTCTCTCCCTCTCCACCTTCTCCCTGCTCTGTAAGGTGGGCCTTGACACCTCCGCTCCTCGGTCCCCAGGTCCTGGGTCAGTGAGGTGTGGTCTTGTGCATTCTGCCAGGCCTATCTGGGAGCACCTGGCTCAGTTCTAGGGAGTGAGGGTGATGGGAAGGCCACCCTGAGTGTCAAGCAGAGGGTGGCGGGGGCAGAGGTCTGCTGCACAGAGTGAGCAGGGATGGAGAAGCCACAGGGGTGAATTCCAGAGAGGACTGGAGGGGACTCACATCCCTGTGGGCAGATGGAGGAGGAGAGAAAGGCCATGAAGGGTTCTGGGGCCATTGGGAGCCCACAGGGAGTGGCACCAGGCACTGGTCAGATTCCCTGGGGAGTGGACCCAGGGTTTAGGGTGCAGGGCTCACAATTCTAGACTTGGACTCTGAAAGGAGGGGGCCTGTCACCCACCTCGTAGAGGTGGAGGCTTAACATCGGGTGTTCTCACCGGGCTGTCGCTAAGTGTCCTGGTGGAGGGAGGAGATGTGGAGTGCTTCCAACTCTGGTCAGGATTCTGAGAAGGGCCACCCTGTTCCTGGCTTCTGAGCCTCCCAGGGGCCTGAGGGATATGTAGTCAAAACAGCCTCACTGGCTGTGGAAATTGGGGCAGAGGTCTCCCTGCACTGGGGCAGTGCCAACCAGCAGTTCGACAGTCCCCCATATAGGGGCAGGGCCTGAAACCTGGCCCTTCCTGGCCTCAGAGCTGGTTGCAGGGTCCCTGACCCCCTTCCATGGTCACCTGGATGAGCCCCTGGGCTTTCCAGACTGGCCCCAATCCCTATTGTGCCACACCCCTCCAGGCCCAGGGACTCCAGCACCATCGCCTGAGTGGAGTCACAGGATCTCCTGACACCCTCCACAGGGGATTTGCTGCATAGTACCTCCATTAAAACATTTGGGGATGTCCCACCTGCAGAGGCAAAGGGCCTTTCAATCAAATTCAGTCGTATTATCCCTCTTGTTTCGCTTATTCCCACTACCCCAGCTCCCCTCTCTTCCAGCCTCCCCCAGGCCTTTGCGTGTCACGCTCAGTTAACTGCATCTGGTTAACTGCTTATTTATCCTGAAGAACCCAGCTCAATGTCACCTGCCAGGGATGTCCCCCATAAACCCCAGGACTCCCCCACACCCCATTACCACCTCTCTTTATTCTGAGCTTTGTTAATGCCTGGCTGCCTCCAGGAGGGCCAGGTCTGGGTTGACCTTCCTTACCCTGGACTTGTCATACCAGGCACCACAGAGTTGATGCTGAGTATGGGTCACCTGGAAGCCCTGAGGCAAGGGCTGGCTCCTGATGGTCCGGCCCTGGGGAGGTCCTGCTCTGACTTCTCAGGTGGACCTGGTGGGGGACAGCCCAAGCCTTAGCCTGGACTCTCTGTAGCCCTGGCACTAGGTGGGACCACGGCTGAGCTCCTCTCTACAGAAGCGGGGGTCCTGGAACGACAGATGCACATGGCCTCCTGCCACCCTAACCTAGACATCCCCTTGACTTGGGAGTGGTAAGGGGCAGGGCTGGACCCTGGATCCAAGCCAAGCTCCGTCTGTTGCACAGTCCCGGAAAAATGCGGAAAGGGGGTGGGAGGGTGACCTCACCGAGTGCTCCACCTCCTGGGTCATTAGCGGGGGTGGGGCAGAGCATGAGACAGACCCAGCTGGACCCCTCAGCCTGAGGATCTGGGATTGGACCCAGGTACAGACCCGGTAAGTGGCCAAAGTTCTGAGGTCCTGCGGGGCCGGGGCAGGACTAACGCTCAGAGACTAGGGGGCGCAGGTCGCGGAGCTGGTACGACCCTGTAAAGTTTGTGAGTCGCATCCGGCCTGTGATGTTTACGGGTCAGAGTCCTTGGGTGAGTGGTGGGTTCAGGAGTCCTGTGTGCTGAGGTCTGCAGATTCTGGGGGCTGCTGTCGGTGTGTATCTGCCCAAGGTTCCACTCCTCAATGTTCAGGTGAGTGTCGAAGGCGGACCCCAGGAAAAGAGGGTGGCGACTGCCCAGAAACAAGGGCCCTGCCGGGGCGGAACCCAGGTCCTGAGCTCGGCCTCCCCACACCCCCAGATTACTGTGTGCCCCTCCCCCTGCCCACGATCGGGGGATGAGGGGTGCGGGAGCTCGTGGGGGCCGGCGGTGGTCTCGGCGGGGTGTCAGCCCGGGTAGCCCTGGACTTAGCAACTCCCGCAGCAGTCGAGAGGTGGGGAGGCCCTCCAGGGCCAGGGGCGGGGCCCCAGACTTGGGGGCGGGGCCCAGAGGGCTCGGCCGTTCTCCTCGCGCCCCTATTGGACCGCCCCGCCGCCGTGATGTTCCCCAGGGAGACGACGTGGAACATCTCGTTCGCGGGCTGCGGTTTCCTCGGTGTATACCATATCGGTGTGGCCTCCTGCCTCCGCGAGCACGCGCCCTTCCTGGTGGCCAACGCCACTCACATCTACGGAGCCTCGGCCGGGGCGCCCCCAGCCACTGCGCTGGTCACCGGGGCCTGCCTGGGTGAGCGGATCGGGTCACGGGGCTGATGGGAAAGCAGGGCAGGGGCCGAGCAGACGCTCTAGGAGAGCTTAGTGGCCCACCCTCGCGCAGGAAACCTGGCCTGGCCGCGAGTGCTGCATGTGTCCTGGGGAGATCCCGCACCGGGGCAGAGGTTCCAATCCGCGGTTCCGGCCCGGGGGCGGGGCCTGGTTTGTTTTGCTTCGAGGTGCCTAGAGATTGGGGTAGGGCCCCACGCACTCCAGCCGCCTAGGGTCCGCCTCTTGAGCGAGTGCAAAGGTTGGACACGGCGGGGGTCGGCGGGGTGAGGGGCCGGCAGGTGCATAGAATTCATATCATGGAAAAGAGAAAGTAACTCTTGGGCGGGACCGTGAGAGTCGGAGGAGGAGCCTAAATGGACATCCAAGCCGGTGCCAGAGGTCGTTGTGTCCTGGGACTCCACGGTTCCAGGCTGATATGGCCCAGGGGCCTGGTATGGGGGCAGCCTCCGAGGGACATCAGGACCCTGTGGCCTGGTCCCTCTTGAGAGGACCTGGAGGAAGGAGCCAAACTGAAGTCGGGACTGGGCATGGCAAGCTCTCTCCTGCCCTCCCTTAACTTCATAATGCCCTGTGGCCAGGTCCCCAACGTGGCCCATTTTCTGCCCACTGCGTGCGGTGGGGAGCTTCTGGATTCCGGAGTGTAGGGGTCCGTGTGGCCGGCTGGGCTTCTCCTCTCAGGGGCACTTCCCCTGCCACGTGGGAGTGGTGTTTACAGCACACAGTGTACTTAGCCTGCTAGGGCAGCCAAGGTGGGGAGGTGCCCTGCCCACAGGGGACTGTCCAGGCTCTGCCCTGCCCCCTTCTTGTGACTGTCGCCCCCAGGGGCATGTCTGGAAGGAGCACAGCTCTAGTTCTGAGCGCCTAGGTGTTCATTTCTGTGGCCCTGCCTCTTCCCTCTCATGGAGGTCTTAACAGTGCCTCTCCTGCCCACTGGCCTCAGGACACTCCGAGGTGCCTGGTACTACTCCCACGGCGCCTCCCCACCCTCACTGTGACCAGCCCCTCTCCCAGCGGTCTCGGTCTCGGGCAGCTGGACCCCACTATTGTGGCCAACGCTGGCTGAGGAGAGCTCTCTGCGGCCCCCCATTGCCTGCCCTGACCATGGCAGTGGTGCTGTAGGAGGGCATGGTCTTTAGCAGCCCCTCCCCCCCTTTAAAAAGAATGGCTTTACTTAACTTTGTGGGGCCGGCAGGTAGTGTGGTGGTCAAGGGCGATGGACTTGCACATGGCTAACTATGGTTCAAATCCCGGACCTGGCGGCTTGCTTTCTCACTTTCCCTCCCTCTTCTCTCTCTCATCAAATAAATATATAAAATTTAAAAAGAATTAAAAAAAAAAACAGAATTATTTAACTTTTTAAAATCCATTTTCCAATTTTTTTTTGGAGAGGATTTTTTGCTGTAGGGCACGTGCGCTCTCCAGACAGAGAGACAGAGAGACAGAAAGCGAGAAATCACCCCCCAGGGGGGATGGCCACGCCACAATCCCTTCTCCTCCGTTCTCCTCTTGGGACCTCGGGCACGCACGCACACGCGCCCAGCGTGAGTTTTAAGCCACCAGGTCCGGGACGCGAACCATGGTCAACTACATGGGAGTCGAGCGACATAGCCATTACACTAACTGCTGGTCCCCCATTTTCCAATTTGACCAGAGAGAGACAGAGCAAGTTAGCGAGCAGGAGAGAGAGAAGGAAAGCTTTTGCAAGCTGCCAGGTGTGGGACTCGAACCGTGGTCAGCTATGTGGGAGTCCAGTGCCCTTAACCACCACACCACCTGCTGGCCTCTTCAGCTCCTCCCTCAGGTTCTCCTGCTCCTGGTCACTGCTGGGAACGGGCCCCAGCCTGGTGTTGTCCTGGGCTGGCAGGCACCCATGGGCCCCTGGGCCGTGTCGGGTTACTTACTCTTGGCTGCTCTGGGACTCTGTAGTGCCTGCCCAGAAGTGGCCCCACTACTTCCAACCCAGTTCCCCTAGGCACGTGACCCCAGGCTGGGCTGGGTTTTGCGGGCTGGCCCCCCTCTGGAACTGGCCAAGTGGGTGAAGGCTGAGGCAGCAGAGCTGGGACTCTGCCTTCTCCCCTCTCTTGAGTTGGACACCATGCCGTGCCATGCCAGGCCCAGTGACTCATGTGGGCAGGCCGTTGGGTAACACCGGGCAGAGGTCAGGTCCTGGCCCCAGCTGGCCTGTCCCTGTCTGCCATCCCAGGGCACTAGCCTGTCTCTTTCTCCCCAGAGGCAAGTGGCAAAAGTCCCTGTTGTGGGCCAGGCCCCACTGTGGGCTGCAGGGGTTCTGAAGCTGTGTGCTGTGGGACCCTGGCATGGAGTCTCAGGGGGTAGGGTCTTGCTAAGCTCTGGACTGCTGGCCTCTGACCTTGACCCTCCTGCCCCAGGGGAGGCCGGTGCCAATATCATTGAGGTATCTAAAGAGGCCAGGAAGCGGTTCCTGGGCCCCCTGCACCCCTCCTTCAACCTGGTGAAGACCATCCGGGGCTGCCTGCTGAAGACCCTGCCGGACGATTGCCATGAGCGTGCCAGCGGGCGCTTGGGCATCTCCCTGACCCGAGTCTCGGATGGCGAGAACGTCATCATTTCCCACTACAACTCCAAGGAGGAGCTTATCCAGGTGGGCCCCGAGGGCCGTGCGTGGGGTGCAGTGTGAACCCCAGGGCCCTGCTCACCACTCCGCTCTCCTCGCCCTCAGGCCAATGTCTGCAGCACTTTCATCCCTGTGTATTGCGGCCTCATCCCTCCCGCCCTCCAGGGGGTGGTGAGTACTCCTGCTGGGTCCTGTCCTGGGTGCCTTTTGTGGGTGACAGGAATCAGCTCATGTCGGGGCTGTGGGACAAGGGGGTGGAGGAGGAAGGCCACCCAAGCCCCGCCCTATGGCCCCTTACTCTGCACTGCCAGTTGCCTCACTTCCCCTGGTTACTCAAGAGGCAGGCAGCCCCGGGTGTGTGTGTGCAGACTTCTTTCCTGTGGCCGTCTGTCTGTCTGCCTAGGCTGGCCTGTGGTCAGTACCCTGTGGGTGAAATAGCCACTGGGTGGGTGGCACCGTGGGGGGGACAGCACACCCCTCGGACTCCTTACCATGTGACTTGTGTCTGTCCGTCCCCAAGCGCTATGTGGATGGTGGCATTTCAGACAACCTGCCGCTCTATGAGCTTAAAAACACCATTACCGTGTCCCCTTTCTCGGGCGAGAGTGACATCTGCCCGCAGGACAGCTCCACCAACATTCACGAGCTCCGGGTCACCAACACCAGCATCCAATTCAACCTGCGGAACCTCTATCGCCTCTCCAAGGCCCTCTTCCCTCCCGAGCCCCTGGTGAGCCCCCTGGCCTCTTCCCTGAACCTCTCCTCACACGGATGGCCTCTCTCGGTGTTGGGTGCGGGCGTTTCTGAGAGCTGGGGGAGAGTGCTGTGGCCGGCACAACCTCTCGAGTGCAGACAGGCTCTGTCCAGCCTGGTCTTTGTCTGGATCCAAGACAGGTTATTGGAGGTGGGTGGGTGGGGGATGGAGGTGGCTGGTTGCAGGACCCCTAGGGACGCTAGGGGGCAGAACAGGACGCGTCTGACTCCTTCTGAGCCAGTTTATCCACACTCTTGCCGCAGGTGCTTCGAGAGATGTGCAAACAAGGCTACAGGGACGGGCTGCGCTTCCTGCGGCGGAACGGTGCGTGGCCGTCCCCGGCGCTGCAGCCGCGTTGTACCCGCGTTGTACCGCGGGTGGGATGGGCGGGGCCCGCGCTGCGCTGCTGCCCTCTGCCGGCCGACGGGGTCTGTGGCAGTGCTGATCGCGAGTCGCGTGGTTCTTCTACTCCAGGCCTTCTGAACCGGCCCAACCCCTTGCTGGCGCTGCCCCCTGCTCATCCCTGTGCCCCCGCGGAAGAGGACGCAGAGGAAGCTGAGGCTGCTGCAGAGGTGGCCAGAACGGAGGACAGCTTGCCTCCGCCCCGGGAAGATCACATCCTGGAACACCTGCCCGCCCGTCTCAATGAGGGTGAGAGGTCCCAGGGAGGGCAAGAGCCACGAGAGAGCTCAGCTG